CGTTTAGGGTTGCACACGAAAAAATATAAAAACATATATTTGATATGTATATTTTTAATTCGTTTTATTTACTCCATTCATATCATCCAAGTTTTCTCATTTTTCTTGTTTTAACATGGCCTCTTTTGGGGGTCAAAAAAAGGCTTGGGCCACGCCCAGATCGGTCTCCTTTAGGGGTTTAATTCAAATTTCCGACGAGCATCCCCACCCCTTTCATACGCCGAGTCCACCCCGGGGAGGGATCATTCACTGGTTTTGGGGAAGTGGGGTGGGTGGACGAACGAACGTAAAAAAGAGAACAAACACAGGAACATCAGGGTATGGTGCAAAGTGGGTGTAAATCAATAAATATTTATTAGATATGTGTTGCTTTTAAAGGACCAAAATTATGTGCTTTACATCTTTTATGGACCATCTTAATCCTAGGAAGTGAAAACAATCGGTGAAAGTGAAAAACTTTGAAGTGGTGAAATCAGCAATATGCGCTATTTTTACTCCTTATCACCATGGTCACTGCAAAAAATTGGCCGCCGGGCGCTGAAGTGATTTTCCTCCCGAAAAAAAAATATATTTTTAATTATTTCCAAAAATGAATGCGGTTTCAGTTACTTTTGGACCAAGATAAATTCATGGGCAAAGTTTAAAGGAAATTGATTTTCCGACCCGAAACGCAGTCGACCGGTTTTAGACACTCTCTTAAACAACTTATTTGCCCCGTGTAAGGCATTCCGGATTTCGGAATCGCGGAAAGTTTTGCTTCTGGAATCCACAATTTTGGAATTTTCACTTGTGGAATAGGGAATCTTGGGTGTTGGAATCTGGAACACAGCTCAAGGAATCCGGAATCCATTGCGTGAAATCCAGAATCCAAGGCTTTTTTGGATTCCCTTCAACTGCCAATGTAACAGCAACATAAAAAGGTTAAGACGGATTCCATCGCAAAATTGAGTATACTCATTTTAATTTTCAGTGGACAAAACCCTTCTACCAGAATAATTAAAACAATATCGCATTCTTTTTTACATTTTTCAAGGGCTATAGATGTAATTAGTTATCCGTAATACTGCCAGTCAAAGACTATTTCTCATGGGAGCCCGAGAAAATAAATGTCAAATTCAAGAATTGTGAAAACACGTGTAAAATTCTGAACATTTTATGATTGTGTAAGCTGTCATTTTGTGAAATTTGACATTGTCACTTTCTTTATGTGTAGCTACAATCTTAACGTAGAAAAATCTGTTTGAATGCAGAGGTCCACGCAACACGTAATTATAAACTGACTGGTTCCTCTTGCCGGTTCTCGTCACTTGATGTGTAAAATAAAACAAAACTGAATGCAAGGCTGGCACTACGGCAAAGGGCTGATTTATTATAGGCCAATATTTCGGGAAAAAAGTTAGCCTTCCTCGGGGCTTGAGCTACACCGAGAGAAAATATTTTTAACGACTTCCAAAATTTAAATTTAAAATAAGGGGGAAAACAGGAAGAGGGAGGAAGAGGGAGAGAGGAGGGGAGAGGTTCCATCGCTGTCATTCCCTACCCTACCCCCTCGCTGTTTTTTTTTTTCAGCGCACATCTTCTTGCGCCGTCCACACGATCTGAACACGCCTGGAACAGACAATGTCCAAGTGTCTATTTAAAACAAAGGGAAACAGCCAGAGTGAGTTTTGGAATTGACAGAACATTTTTTAGCTTTCTTAAACTTGATATTTAAATTATTTATTACCTTAGTATTCTAGCTTTGTAGGATTTTTAGAATTTATAGGGCCATAAGGGAAGAGTACAGTGCCACTGTAATTATGCACCCTATTGAAATTAAACTGTTTGTTTGTTGGTTGGTTTGAATGGGCCTAATTCGCAGGAGGGTGCTTATTCGAGAGGAAGCTGGAGGGGGGTGGGGAGGAGTCGCCTACTAGGTTTCGTGTCAAGGAACTAAATCTTTTTTTGCCAATTCTTCATATAGAAATAACCTCACACACATAATACATAGGAAATGATTTTTGTAACTGGCTTAAAGCAGAAGAAATTAAAGAAAATTCCATTTCGATACCCATCCTATTTATCAAAAGTGGGGAGATAATTATCAGTGAATTATGGGAACGTATGTTGGATGGTCAACTGACCACTGAAAACAGGTTGACAGTTCAATACAGGTTCGTACCAACCAAGCATTTTCTTCTTCTTTTTTTTTTCAAACAGAAAAGGAACAAGAAACCATTCAACGCTACAAAATGTAACCAGTGCACTAATATAATACATCTTAACAATGAGTACAATGAAAAAAAGTAATCGATAAGAGCAAGTGACCATTTTTAAAACAGTGGCTAACGCTAATCTTAATAACAAATACAACAATTTACGCTTGGCACTCGTTACAGATTAAGCTTTAAATCAGTTCAGTTAAATGAGTTCTCTGCAGCTCTACACTATACGTAGAGAATGCTCAACAGAGCCATTTACTAACTGAGTGAAACATGAAAACCCCGTTTCTATAGAAAAGGTCTCCAATTTCTGGACCCGTGGGCTGTAAATCAACTGTTTGCATGATTCACTGGAAAGGAAACGGAACAAAGTGATAACTAGTCATCAGGAGTTACGTCGACCTGAAGAAACAAAGTGTCATTTACAATGTAGCGCCTTGTTTGAAGTTCCTTATGAGGTATGCAAAACGGTAGCTCACTTTCAACTACCTTCATTTTTTCTCCTGGTCTTTCTGAGAATATCGTGTCTTTTAATTCCCGTTTTCTTGGGCTTTTAAAATAATAAATATTGTTTTGCCTTTCTTTTAGATCCTTGTTTTGATCAATCATTGTGACCGTTATTTTCTTTCTGAAAGGCCAGGGTAATATGTCATCATATTCACCTTCCATCAAAACGACGGCGATCGAGAGATAGGGAACTTCATGGGGATTAAAACAAAATCCGGTGTCGTAAGGATAGGCAAACACTTTTAATTTGTAGCCATAACGTCCAGTGTAGAATGGATCACTTTCTATCCTTTCCTTTACTCCCTCCTTTGCTTGCCTCAAAATTTCACTGAACGATTTAATCTTCCAAATAAAACGTTTTTTGCGACCATCTTCAACGGTTAAACAGTTTAATCTGGCTTGTGTTTCTACTAACTGAACTCGTATTTCATCTAACTGACCTCGTTGCTCATTCAACTGAACCTGTGTGTTGTTAAGTTTAACACAGGCGAATTCAAGATGCTCTCGCATGTTTGATTGTAGATGAGAATCCAGGTTTTTGCGCTGAAACTGAAAAAAAAAAACAAGACAAATCATCTTAGTAAATAGATTATAAATTTTGGAGTCTTATGCCATATAAAAGTTTGTGTTTGCTGAGAATTTGGCTAAAGAGCTCGGGGTGGGTGGTTATAATCAGTGGTGAAAGCACTAGAAGGCGTCTCCTGATAACAGAAAGACGGTCGGAAGTGAGATTTTCAGCAGATTGTTGTTGCTTAATGAACAACTGATTTATAATGTTTTAAATTCTGATATATTCATTATTGTATTTAACGATCAACAACAACCTTTTCAGTGCATCCCATTTGAGCATAAGGGCAGGAGACTAAAGACAAAGGACAGTCGTTATCAATGTGATTGGGAATCTAAAAGAAAAGGATAAAATTAAGTCAGCGAACTTACTCAAGACCCAGTGCTTAGCATGGCCTTTTCTGATCTAACACACGTCTTCGACGCATTCCAGTCGGGTCGAGAAAAACGGTTTCAAGCACTGGCGGAAAGAGCGCAGCCAAATTTTGTAGTTTGTAAATTTTCATTTTATCCTTTTAGTCTTTAGCCTTTGTTTTTTCGATAGTTAAATCTTTTAGTCTGATTGTATTTTGATTACTTTTTTTGCCTTTTTTAGTCGTCTAGCCTTTTTAGCCTTTTAACTTTATAACCTCTAGTTTTTTAGGTTTGATTGTTATTAATAGTTTTAATATTATTTAATCTTAGTCAGAGGATCTCCCTGAAAACCACTTTATGTAATTGGATTTTCCTCTATAAAGATTATTATATTATTATATTATTATTATTAGCTCTTCTCGTTGCGCCGTTTCTCTCAACCCGACTGACTGCCCCCCAGGTCAGAAGAAAAGGGTCCTAAAGTTCAGGTTCCTCCCATGTCAAGCCTACATTTTCTACATTTAGTCTATTTTTTGCAGCCGCTTCGATCACGGTAATCACAACGCTTCAAGGACCACGACCATATCGATTTGTTTCCGCAGTAGCCAGCATATAATTTGTGTTATATAGAAGGAGAAACGAACGAAGAAGCGCATGACAACATGGCGAACGGATGCAAATAGACCTTGTCACGGTTTTCGACGCCATCTTGACGAGTAGGCAAACGCGTAAGAAATTACAGTGTTTGTATGAGAATCTAATGTCGAATAATTTCCGTAAAACGGCTGTTCTGAAAAAAATATCAGTTGTAAACTAAAGCTACACGGCAAAGGATTGTCCTAAAAAATTTTGGGGGCGTACCTGTGCTTAATTTTCTCCAGAGGCTTGCTTTAGATTTTCCATATATTTGTCTGTAATTTTCCCGGGACTTTCTTACAGACAAATGTATAGAAAATTTTAAAAAGTGGTTCTAGGTCTTCTAGTGCATGTAACGCCCTCAAATTTTTTCAGGAGAATCCTTTGGAGTGAAGCTTTAGTTTACAAATCATATTTTTCTCAGAACAGCCGTTCCACGGAAATTATTCGACATTAGATTCTCGTACAAACACTGTAATTTCTCACGCGTTTGCCTACTCGTCAAGATGGCGTCGAAAACCGTGACAAGGTCTATTGACCACACTCCGACTCTTACTTGTTTTGCATCGACCGTCTACCGTTTTGAGGAAGATGCAACTTTATCCCATGGGCTGCGCTTTACTGGGGAAAACGAACAGAAGGGAAAGACAAGTCGCTGTAATTCCCTGACATATCATATATCAGATATAGTGCTCAAAGGCGCCGTGGCCGTGGAAATGGGTCAGTTGTTCATGTATGACCTCATGAAATGTCCTGACTGTCATGGGGTCATACATGAACTACTGACCTACTACCGTTCGGTACAAGTACCTTTCAGCTCTGTCGTATTATTCTGGGAGGAGATGTTCAAACAAATCCTGGGCCGAAGAATAACAAGAAATTGCCAAATTATCCTTGTAAGGAATGCTGCAAAAATGTTCTCTCGAATCAAGACGCCCTTTTGTGCGCGGTTTGTACCACATGGACACACGCCATGTGTGTCGGCATTACATAGGAAACCTTTAAGCAATACTTAGCTTTTCCTGACATGGATTGGACGTGTTCATGGTGTAACAGCTGTGTAACCCTCATTCGCGAATGGAAACCTTTCGTTTTGAAGAGTTAAACATGCAAATGAACCCAATATCAGTTACTTCGTTGATGGAAGGTAACGACATTGAAAATGAGTTACATGAGTTAATGTCCCTCTGAACCACCAAGAGAGCTCGATTGTGGAAGAACGTAAACAAAATTCTCACAACGCTTTTGTGGCTCACTTCAATATTGACAGCACGCAAAATAAATTTGAGGAGCTAAAACTCCTGAACGATTCTTTGAAGGCACAGATACTAATTTTATTCGAAAACAAAATTGACCGTTCTTATCCTGACGACCAGTTCAGACTAGAAGGATACAATATGTATATCATAGACAGATGCAAAAGGGGTGGTGGGCTCATTGCTTATTTTTCTACATTCATTCCTTCGAAGAGAATGAAATTGCCAAAGACCTATAAGACGCAGGAAGCTATCGCGGTTGAATGTACGATAGGGAGGAAAGAAATATTGTGTTTAGCGCTTTACAGACCACCTAAACAGTCAAAAGGGAACAATGGTCGAAAGATCGAAACACTTGTGGAATGTAGAGGAAGAAATGAACCACCTTTCCCAGTGGTCATGTCTTCAGAAGCAGGGTATAGTTATATTAGGAGATATGAACATGGACAGGCTTAGCCCCGGTCGGGGTGAGGGAAATATGCTAAGAGATTTAGAGGAGGTTTATAACTTGTCCTGTCTGATAACAGAGCCCACAAGAGTGCACTCTTCTGGACGAGTTGCTCACAAACTCTCCAGAGCTGTTCAATAGGTGCGGGGTTTATAACCCAAGCTAACCCAGAAATAAGCGACCACTATATAATATATGGGGAACTGAATGAAGGTGAAAGTGTGCAAGTAATAAGCCCAAGATCATAACATTTAGGCAGACTAAAAACACAGACTTTGAGCTACTCAATTAAGAACTAAGTAATGCGCCTTGGCATGTTGGTGATATTTTCACTTGCACAGATGACAAGTATGAATACTGGGGAGGACTACTTGAAAGCATCGTGAACTCACATGCACCAGTCAAGAGAAACAGAGTGAGAGAACAGGACATCCCCTATATGACTCGGGAATGGAAAAATGCTTTGAAAATGAAAAGAAAGTATGTTAGAATGTTTGCAAAAGATCGTACGGTCGAGAACTTAGAACTCAAGACGAAGGACCGAAAACTAGCCTCGGGGGAGCGTTGAAAAGCGATCAGAACATACTGGTACAAAAATACGGAAGAACATACCAGATAAGTTTTACGATACCTTCAAACCTTTTATTAGCAACAAAGGCAAGGGATCTACAACAATACATATAAAAACTAAGGAAAACAACTCGGTCGAAAAGAATCAAAATGAAGTGGCAGAGACGCTAGCCAGCTACTTTAAATATTGGAGGAGATCACGTCATCCGTCTGACTGAGGACGACCATAGCGAGCATGACAGAGTTAAGAGCATACAAGAGGTCTACCAAGAAAACGATTTTGATTTTAAATTACTCAGGCCAAATGAGGTGCAACGGGCACTTGAAAATATCAATCCAAAGAAATCTAGTGGTTGGGATTCCGCGATCTCACCGAGGCTTCTTAAGAGCGTTGCTAAGGGAAAGGCAATATCACCTACAACCTTTATAATCTTTGTATAGAGAAGAGCGAATGGCCGGCCTCGTGGAAAATGGGTGAATGGACACCTGTCTTAAAGAAGGGAGACAGACAAGATGTTAAAAACTATCGCCCCGTTAGGCTCCACTTATAAAACTCTGTACTCGAAAATGACAGCGTACAGAAAGACACATAGCTGTGAGACGACTTTGCTTGGACTGATAGAGGACTGGAAACAGGCTGTCCACTCTAAACAACTCGTGTGCGTTCTATCTACTGATATGAGCAAGGCCTTCGACTGTTTGAGTCACTTTCTGACAATAAAGAAGTTGGAGGCTTATGGCTTTGGAAGCTGATCTCTCGATTTAATGCGATCGTTTTTCGAAAACAAACGAAACAGGGTAAAACTAGGTGAAATTACAAGCGATTGTAAACTTATGAAACTTGGATGTCCGCCAGGATCATCCTTCAGGTCCTTACTCTGAAACATGTTCCAGAATGATTTACCGTCGCATGTCGAGAATGGAAACGTAAATATGTATGCGGATGACCATCAATTGCATGTGAAGGGAACAAATCACGAAATAGTCAGACAGCAACTGAAAATGAGCAGCAAGCAAGCTCTGACGTGGTATTCAAAAAACTTTTTATTAGCCAACCCAGAGAAGTTCCAATTCCTAAATATTAACCCAAGAAAAATTGATGGAGATGAGAGTGATGCAGTGCGAAGCGCGGATGGCCTACCCATTGACAAATCATAGGTCATTAAACTACTAGGAGTCCACATCGACTATGATCTTAATTTCAAGAAGCATATAAGTGAGCTATGTATTATGACTAGCCATAAAGTCGGGATAATAGAGAGCTTTAGATTCTAAGACGAGTACGACTACGAGTACGAGATTTTCTCAACACTATGTAGTGCACGCACGTGAGCCAGCGTCATTTTGGCGGGAAAATTTGGTAGCCGTCGTCACTCTGCTATGAGTTTTGGCGAGAATGTCGAAGTGGCGGGAACAAGTTGTCAAATGTTGGCAGTTTTATCATTTTGCGATCGGGAGAGGGTGTAACCTCAGTGGCTGATCCAGACCTTCATATGGGGGGGGGGGGGGGGGCGGTCCTTCAACCCCCGAAAAGGGGGGGGGGGGGGGGCCCCAAAAAAAATTTTTTGGCCCTTCCGGCCCCCTTTTGGGTCAAAAAAAAGGGGGGCGGCCGCCCCCCCCCGCCCCCCCCCTGGGCCCCCCCACCGCCACTGGTCTCCAAAAAACATTTTTCGGCTCTTCAGGCCTCAGTTTGGTCTAAAAATAAGGGGGGGCCCGGGCCCCCCAGGCCCCTCCCCTGGATCCGCCACTGAACCTCCTTCATTAAAGGTAACAGTGCTAACTTTTCTAGTGACAAATGGTAAAATGAAGCTTTCCGGGGAGTCTATATTTTGAGAATACGCGAAAAACCTTTAAGTCAAATCTCGTACTCGTAGTCGTTCTCATCCTTGAATCTAAAGGTCTCTACTATCTCGTTTAACAAATTTAATACCATGTTAGGCTAAGCTGTTGCTGCACAAATCTTTTATTTCGCCCCACTTAATGTACTGCCATTTAATATGGCATTTTTGTAAGTCGTCAGACAAAGGAAGGTGAAACGATAACAATAACGTGCATTGAGAGCCATTTATAGATCACACTCGGAAACGTATGAAGAACTCTTAAAGAGGGCTAACCTTCCCTCGTTGAACAACAGACGTCTTCAGGACATCGTAGTACTGATGTATAAAGTTAAGTACGGACTTGTGCCTGATAATGTTTCTAACTTATTCGTTCGAAAGGATTCCGCGCATTCATTCAGAAATAATGACTATTATAGTATTGTAATCGTATACTTTTTTTGTACTTTTATTGAGGGTGTAGATTTTATAGTAAATAATCCCCTTTAACAATTTAATTTTAGTAGTATAGTTTATTAAGTGTGCGAAGTAGTCCCTTTGGGCTAAAATACTTTGACACTTAAATAAAGTTTTTTATCTTATCTTGTTATTTATTTACTTGCTATGAGGTTTTTGTTGTCTATTTAAAAGGGAAATGTATTCAAACTTTTTAAAACAAGCAACTGCCGAGAAAACAGCCGACAGCCTTACCCGCAAGGTAGAAATCCTGCGATGATGCTATACTCAGATACTTTATGGCGTCACTTAAACTACAATGAAATACATTTACCATTTCTCTAGGAATTACATGGCCACAGCTAATAGGGCAAGGGAGTGGAATCTCACGGCAATTTTCCAAATGGTCCTGCAAAAACACAAGTATATAACTTATTTTTTTCACTTAAACTGAAAAACGTCATTTTTTTAGGCCGTCGTAAGCCGAGAGAAATCTTGCAGTACTCTACGGTGCTCATCAATAAGGGAGAAGTTTGAGCACACACATCTAAGTCAAGATCAAACGAAAGAGGTATCCGTTGTCAACTGGAAAAACTATGGCGGAATGGTTGAAAAAGAGAGTCGCTGTTATTTTAATTCTGCTTACCTGTAAGTGCCTCTTTGGGTGTGGCTCTTCACAGTATTCACATTCTATGATCCTCCATTCGCACGTGTTTGTCACGTGTTGTTCGAGGTCTTTTCTTTTCACGGTCACATGGCAATTTTCGATAGTGCAAGTAACAATTTTGAACGGGCAAGCTTCCAGGTGAGCCTGTTTTAAATAATAACAACTTGTGAGAATTGAAAGATCACTTCTAGAGAAGAAGTGATCTCCGAACTACCAAATGTCTTAGTTTTGACGCCAGTTAAGAAATTAGCTGACATTCATGGGGATTTTCGTTAATGAATAATTGAGAATAGTCTGCGTCACTTTTGACACTCAAATGAATGTATTATGTCTTTTCATAAATTACGCATACCAAGAGAGAATGAGCTAGCGAATGATAACATTCGAAAGAAACATTTTGGTATCATCACCTGGTTTTAAATGGGAAAGCAAAATATACAAGCTAAATAGGTCTATTTTTGTAGAAGGTGTGGCGAAACGCCCTGGTAAAAAGTCTACTTTGTCGTGTTGTAATTCAGCTGAATTATCTGTCCTGAAAACGGTTCTGGAGCAGAAAGCACAGCATTATAACGCGAATTTACGAAAAAATAAAGATTGTGATAATGTGCTTAAAGTTCTGTGACAAACTTTACGCCAGTATTTAAAGTCGTTTAAAGGTGATTAAAGGTCACTTTACGCGGTTGTACGTAAAGTTGTCATTACGCTTGTTTGCGTCGCCGCTTTTAGCTGCTTTTCAAAGTCCTGTTCAAGGTCAACTTTATACCACCGGATGTAAAGGCAAATTAAAGTTCGGTAATTTTCGTGTCAAACAGACTGGTTACTTGTTGTATGTTAACAATCACTGAATAACGGCCGGTCAACGGACAACGTCCGGCTAAGATGACCATTTGTTTGAACAAACTTGCAGTTGGCTGGTCATTTTGACTTGTCAGGTCAGTGTATGGCTTTTAAATAAATAACTGGAAGAAAAAAAAGATTTATTCTCATTTATCCTGAAAATTACAATACAGTTTAAACCATTAAATATTTTAGCTGCTCGCAGTTATAAATCCGGAGAAGACAGATGAGACTGTCTTGTACTGCGACTCTGAATGCTAATTAGCACTTTGTTAGTTTTAGTGGTCAAAATAAGCCATGACTGAGCCGAAACTTGATCGCCCAGTCAAGATGAACGGCCACTGTCCAAAAAATGAACCCTGAATAATGTTAACACATTAATGAGAACGTCCTAACTAACAGAGGCTGTGCAACAAATGCTTAAGGCTTTTTTTACAAGGTGGTAATGAGGCTAAGACGGGAAATCAACATGTACAAAGGCTTTCACGGAAATTAAATGGCCATTTTTACGAGAAAAGAGTAAACATTCTAAAAAACTGTGGCACATCACGACTACCAGACAATTTTCTGCATGCGGATCACCAAGAACACCAAAAAAAGGTCAATAGCCTATTAAACCTAGTAGGAGTAATTTTGGACCCTTGCGCGTGCGGACTCAATAGGCGTCCGCTCGATACATCCCGAAGACGATATGACGTGTTTCCGTTTTTTGCAAATTCGACAGAAACGTAGAGCTGCTTATATCTGTCACCTTTCCGCTCTGCGGAAACATGGTTATCTAGTTGCCTTTGCAAATAATCAAGGTGAAAAACAGTAAATTTACTCTCCAGATGAGTGGATCAAACGGTTGCGTACTTACGCGCCCGGGGAGGGTATTCCTGGTAATTCGAGGTGGGGGTGGGGAAAATAGTCATTTTCCACATCCGTTTTCACCCGACCTGGCCTCTTATTTTTAGACCTGGCGTAGGCAGAAATTATGTTATCATTACTTAGGCTAGAACGCCAACAAAAAGATTCCATTTCGAATTGGCATAAATTAGTCTTTCTTACCATTTGGAATTGAAACGACAAAAACGTTCAAGCACTCTGGTATTGACCAAACCAGGGTATTTTCACTCACGTGGCCAGCAACTTTGCAAATTTATTGGAACAAAAGAAAGCGTTGCATAAGAAAAGAGTTCAACTCCTACACTGGGACACGTTTGGAACACCAACATGGTCGCCGTTTCATTGTTTTGGGACACCAATAGGCCCCGTGACGTCATGTGAAAACACTCTGTAGGCAAAGTCTTTACCCGTTTTCAGACCAAAACGGCGCAAAAACCATATGCAAAGGCTGTGTGAGTTTGCCATTGCTTTCGATTCAAGGTGGTAAAAGTGCTAACCGAATTGGGGCAGGAGCGGACTGCCGGTCAGCGGAGTTTTCTTCAGCTCATGCTCATTGGGGTAGTTAACGGCGTCAACGAGTCCGTTTGTCTGTGTACGTTCGCTTCCCGATAGCGCCACAAGACACGTAAGGGTTGTGATATATTATTATTGAACTATCAGCCTGAAGTGATCAATCGCTTCACTCGTAAAGCGACCCTTTTAAAAAAAACCTCGTGATGCGCAAGTATAATTTGAATGTTGGAGTATTCGATTGTATACTCGCAGTACTAAGGCTAAGGCTATCCAAGACGGAAGATTTTGACGGAGAATGCAGATTGTAAGACGAGGTAAGCTTTCCTGGTTCCAAATCTAAGCTTGTTTAACCATTGTGCTGAGCTACAACTACAATTGTAATATTTATTGACCATTTTGGAGTTGCGTAAGGAAATGGGGCATATAAAGGTAAGGGTATCCAAGACGGGAGATTTTGCGGGAGAATGCGGAATGTAAGATGGGGTTAGTGTTCCTGGTTCCAAATTTTAAGTTGTTTTTCCCTTTGTCGGTGCTAACACTTCAATTTTAAAATTTATTGACCCTTTTGGAGGTTGGTAAAGAAATGGGGGAGGGCTTCTAACCCCCCCTCCCCCCCCCCCCCACCCCCACATCTTCAAATATTGAGAATTGACAGGGAAGGAAGGGATAATATATGACGTCATACTGCACGAAACATGACGTCATTTGTGCAAAAAAACATGTGAAAAAGATTTAGTTGAAGTTGTAACATTTGTACCTGATTGGTTTATTTCCCACCAATCATGTATAATTATTACAATGACATACCGGGGTTTCTGAGGAAACGTTCGATGTTTAAAGTTAAATAGCTCAAACAACGCAAAATATTTGAAATTTCATTGACAGAAAGTCGAATCTACAAGAAATAGCGAACTTTGGCAATTATCCAGGAGATTTCAGACTCTAATCTGGAGACCGGGAGAAATGGTTCAAAATCGGGAGTCCCCTGGATTATACAGGAGAGTTGACAGCACTGCTGGGTCATGTTGAGATTGGTCATGTTGAGATTGGTTATTTGACCAGGTTTGGTGCTCTAAAGTTGAACAGGAACCAAGTTATGACTCTTGAAACATGGTTAAAGATCCATACAAATGTCTTTTATTTTGTGACAGTGTCCCCCAAAACCCTATAAACTCTTTAAAATATTTTTCCCTTTTTTGTTTAACTGTAAAATTCGTTATGCATCTACTACTTGGAAGGAACTAATTCGAAAATCACTATGTTTGCCCATTTTCAGGAATATCACAGTAATCATAAAAAAAAGTAAGAGTTTATATGGTTTTGGGGGACGCTGTCACAAAATTACAGACGATCATATGGATCTTTAACCATGTTTGAAGACCAAACTGTATCAAACTGTTTTGTTCAAAAGAGTTTGATGGAACACGTACTGAACGAGACTCACTGCGGTGTTGTTCACGGTTTAGTGAGTTCCCTTTGAGTCAACAAGGCTACTGGTCTGGATGGTATTTCTGCAAGGCTTTTAAAAGAAGCTTGTCCTGAAATCGTGCCTTCTCTCATAATTAACCTATCCATTAGATGTGGGTATTTTCCAGACGAGTGGAAAATTTCCGAAGTATTACCTTTATATAAGGAGGATATTAAGTCTGATCCTAACAACTATAGACCTATATCTATTCTACCAGTTGTCAGTAAAATAATCAAAAAGGTTATTTTCAAACAACTTTATGAGTACCTAACTCACAATAATTTGCTGGCAGGTTCTCAGCATGGTTTCAGACCGATGCATTCTATTTTGACTGCCTTGCTTGAAGCTTCTAACAACTGGTACTTAAATATTGATGATGGCCTAATTAACAGTGTACTCTTTCTGGATCTTTAGAAAGCCTTTGATACGGCTGACCGCAGCATATTGTTGAAAAAACTGCAACTTTATGGTGTCGACCCACATGCAGTTCAGTGGTTCAAATTATACCTATCAAATCTCATTCAGAGTACTTATGTAAATGGAACTCCATAAGACTATCTTCCTATTAGTTTGGGGGTCCCACAAGGTTCTTTACTTGGATCCTTGTTGTTTCTTATTTATATAAATGACCTTCAAGATTGTGAGCTGTCATCATCTGCACTTATGTATGCTGATGACACCTCGTTTACCCTTTCCACTTATGACCCAACAACTCGTGAAGAAAAGTTAAAGAAAGACTTGGATGAGGTTCAAAAGTGGCTGAAATCAAATAAACTCACATTAAATGTCAAAAAGACAAAATATATGATAATTGGAAGCCACTACCAACTAAGGAATTTAAATGATGACTTAAACGTTACTGTTAATAGTCAACAATTGACTCAGGTGACTATTATAGATATCTGGCAATAGAGGTTGACGAGGCCTTGGTGTTTAACAAGTTGCTTAGGGCCTCTATTTTTCCTCAATAAAATACACTATCAAGCGAAGCTGGCTAGAAATTACAAAAATCTTCCCTTTTGAGCTTACAAAAATTGTGAAAGACAAGAAAGGAAATTTCAATTAAGTTTTTTGAAGTGTTGAAATTAATGGTACAATTTCCAAAGGGTAGTTGGTATAACTGGTTGAATTGAATGCATTTGGTTTTCTCGATTTGGATTGGTTGCTTTCATCGAATGATTATTTGATTCTCACTTCACATTGGTTTATTTCAGCGGGCTAAAATATATCTTAGCCTGCTAAATTCTCCATTTAAGCCAGCAAAATGCACCACATTGCCCAAAAAAGTGGTGATAATATTTTTTAATTCTTATAAGCATATTCTACATTGCTAAAGTTATCTTACTGCTAAAAGATTTTCCTCCTCCTCCCCCAACATAAATTACCATACATAAAAACAACCGAAAAACAAAAATTTAACTGCAACTTATACATTTGTAAACATATTCAGGGTGTGACTTAAGTGCTGTCCGATAGCTTGGGGCTAGTGGAGCAAGAATAGCCCACGATTTTTTTTTAATAGCACTTTGTTTTGTTTTTCATACAACAGAAACCTTGGTATATGATGTTGGTGCAGAAAGTTCTCTCAAAGAAGACAGGAGCACTGAACTTAATTCCAGCCACAAGTTACTGTGCTGTATGCTTAGTCAATCAAGTCAAGTTTTTTAAATGAAAATCTTGAAATACTACCTCCATGCTAAAGACAAAAAAGTTGTTGTCCAGCTGCTTAATATCAGTATTAAAAATAACAATTAGAACCTTTTTTAACATCTTTTCCACATATGCATTTTACATTGCATTTAAGGGGCTGTGTCATGCTATGTTTTACTATCTCTTTGAGAGCTGGCTTAAATGTGTCTTAGCATCAACTGAATTTAAAAAAATAATGATTCAGTTTTGTTATTTAAGACTATATAGAGGCATTGAGACTGTTTCCTGTCATCTGTTGCTGTAGATGACAAGGATTATTTTTTAACTCTCTTAGTTTTGAAATTCGAAATGCAACAAGTCCCTCTTCCTTTTGCTGTAAGCTGAAAGCATTCCTTTTATCATAAATAGTAATTTATATATATATATATATATATATATATATATGTATTTTTTTTTCTTCCTTTGCTCTTTTATTTTCTTTTGTTTTTTTCTTTTTGTCATTTCGCTTTTTTTAGCCTAGAACTTTGATTAGTACGACTATCTAATATACTTATTTTAAGATTTACTGTAGCTCTGCCATTGATTTTCCCGTGTGTAATTATGATAATATTTTGTTCTAATTATCTAACTGAGGGAGCCCATTCGTTATAAGCCCGGTGGCTTCTCTTGGGCTTCCTCGCCATGAGAGTTAAGGTAATTAGATTTTATTTGATTTGTATAATTTTTTGGCAAACAAAACAATAAACGATGGACGTGGATTGAAATTTGTAAAAGTTGGGCCAACTTTTTAGTGCCTTTACTGCAGAAATCACCCAAAAGTATTGGTTTGCAGGGCGGGGAAAAAAATCAGGTCTGATTGCCCGGGGCAAGTAAATTTTGATGTCGGGCAAGTAAAAAAAGTGAAATGATCCTCAGTGTTCCTGTGAATCCAATTTATTAAAAGCTTTTTATAACTTTCATATTTATAACATTCAGTGAAATGAAATATTTAAAAGTTTTCTTGATATTTCAAGTTTTTCGCTGAAAATTTAATTTTATTTATGGGCAGTGTAATTTTTGCTCATAAAGGGTTTGTTCATTACTTTTGGCATATTTAAAGTTCAACTGCAGTGGTAAAACAAAATAAAATATAGTTCCATTTAAAGCAAGTTATAACTTGATCTTGATCATTATAAGTCGGGATGACTGCTCTGACAGTTCCAGTGAGTGTTCAATGCTTCATAACTTTTCGTTTTGTTATCAGTTGTGAAGAATAAAAGTTTTGTCTTGCCAAATCCTTTAACTGTGTGTTAAAGTGTTGTTACATATCAGGGTAAATGTAATTGTGTTGGAGTAATCCTCAATTCATAGCTCCAGATTGTAAATACTATGCCGAGATGATGGAAGCAAAAAATCACAGTATTAAGTACAAAAAGAAAACTATGTGTGGAAAATCAACTCAAAAGAAATCTTGTTTGTTAAAAGTTTGGTAAGAAAAATGTACCCATTACTTTTATCTTTTTATTGTAACTTTACATAAGCTTAAAGATGGGTTAAATCTGGACTTTGTACAAGCTTTACGCTAAACTTAAAGGTTCTGCGTAAAGGTTTTGTTTACTTACGCCAGTTTTACATCGATGCGTAAAGGTGTAGTAAAGTTGAACTTTACGTTGAGTAAAGAGGCGAAAAGTTGTGTAAAATTCAACTTTACGTTGAACTTTACGTTGAGTAAAGAGGCGAAAAGTTGTGTAAAATTCAACTTTACGCTGACTTTACCTTGTCGCTAAGCTAACGTAAATTTAGTTTTTCGTGCTGTGTAGGGGGAAAAGTGCACATGCCAAAACTGACTCTACGAATCTGAGCGTTTACCGCTCTACATTTGCATTTTATCCCTCCACACTTTCAGTCATCAGGACGCATGGGAACGTAACGCCATGAGTAAAATACTTGATTTATTCAGTTTCAAAGGTGGGTGGAAAGGAGTGGGGTCTACTCAACTAGGAAATGATCATGTTTGACACAAACTGAATCCATCGCTCCTTGGATACAATTCTTGTTTTGGTTTTTTACCTCTTTGTCCCTCAGCTCACCAGTCCACGAACAACCGTCACTTGGACATTTGATCACCATTGACAAAATTTTCCTTCCTGTTGCGTTGTCAGGAAATACATCCTACAGTATAATTAGAAAGAAAATTAAACGTAGTGCTCAAGATCAATCCAATATGAATCTTTAGGTGTTGTGATAGAAAAGGATCATGGGAAACTATGGAACACGTGTTAATAGGTGCAGGCGCGGATCCACACCAGCTTCCACCGTTTTACGAAAATCGGTCAGGTTTTTCATAGATAAGTTTGTTTCCTTTTTTTTAATTTGTTAATTTAAAATCTGGCCAATATCCTGTCTGAATGACTCAGAAACCCAGGAAAGTTGACTTTAGGGAGTAAAAATCCAAACTATTTCACTGAGGTGTATGCAGAAGAACAGGGTTTTCACAGTCTTGAAAAGACCTTGAATTCCATTTTTCCTTGAAAAGTCCTTAAATTTCTGTGCAAGTCCTTGAAAAGTCGTTCAATTTTCATCAACTTTGAATGGAGTAGCCTGGAAAGAGTTTTTGGATGCTTTTTGGTTGTGCAAGACAGAATATAAATCATAGCTCAGAGAATTTAAAGGTTATTTACATAAAGTGCTCAATGTTTTTGCAATAATTAACTATCAATTTAAGACAAGTGAACTGAAAAGTGTAGAGAAGTTGGTGAAGCAAACAGTTCAAGCCTTAAAGTCTCATTAGAATGGACTAGAAATGTGCACTTTTCTACAATCTGTGAAATTATAGTCCTAGTAGGTGGTCCTTGGAAAGTCCTTGGAAAATGGTTGCAGTTTTTTGTATGAACCCTGAAGAAGCTTGCGCCCTCGACGCTCGTTTAGGAAATCGGTCAGTACTGATTTATCCTAGATCCGCGCCTGAGGTGCCTCTTTGACTCAAAGGACAGTTGTTTTTATATATTTTTTTAGTCAACGTTTGATTAGATGATGATGATGATGATAATGATGATGGTCATTATTATTATTAGTACAGCAAATAACTATTATTATTATTATTATTATTATTAATCAAAGATGATTTTCTTCAACTTGCTTAAATACCTTTGAAATTAATCTCGCATTTTCACGACTTAAAACGTCAATGTGTGGATGCGACGGTCTTGCTCTAAAAGTTTTTTAAATTTCTTATTTTATCACTTGGTGGCAGCTCGTTTCAAATTTTTACCCATTTTTACACAGTTTTGCATGCAAGCTTTAGATAAAAAGAATAGACGAGACCAAAACGCAATAGACACAGAGGTTACAAGGTAAATGAAAGTGATTTACCCGGTCTCGGTCCAGGCCTTTCCTATCTGCGGGACAAGTGTAAGGCTGGTTCTGAACTTCTTGTCTGTTTTTCGGTGTGAGAGACAATTAAAATGAGTAAATGAATAAATATACAAAAAAAAATAGAGTAAAAGATCTAGACAAACAATTTACGTATTGAAACTGATCGCGGTCGATACGCAGACTGAGTTAGGAGCAAGTGTGGTAAAAGCGTAAATGTGTTTACAAGCAATTAATTTCAAATCGGGTTAAACCATAGTTATTAGAGGAGACTGGTTATGAAAAGCGGCAAACATCAATGATAAAAGCAACAGTGCTGCAGTTTATGTTAGAAGCACCCTGAAAGTGCACAATCCTTTGTTTTCTGTTAGCAAATTGTTACGGAATAAATTAATGCAACGTTTTTATTGGTCAATACAATCAAAATGATAGGAATTCTTTTGAACGTTGTGCACTTTCAGGTCCACAAAAACATATAACAAAGGAGTCTGACGGGTTTCATAACCATTCCACTAGTACCCGTACATCGACACAAAAAAATGTGCAATGTAATCGCAAACTAGGCATTCGACATTTGTACATCTCCCAACATCTCCCACAATACACCTCGTTTGGACAGTTTGGACAGTTTGGAGCGACTTTGGAACGGCTTTGATTCAGACGCCGAACTTTTCCTGTACCGAACCTAATGCATAAATTATTATAACGTATTTTGTAAGCAGTTTGACCGAAATGAGTATTTTTCGCATTTTCAACTTAGTTCAACTGCAATTAAGATCAGCATCTGAATCAATTCAGCCGGTCTAAATAATTTGGGTCGGCCTTAATTCGAATTAGGTTCGGCTCATCATGAAATCAGTGAAATGTTCGGCGTATAACAATATTGACAAACTGAAATTAACATCAACATTAGAAAATACATTAAATTAAAAAAAAGCCTCCTTGATGAAACTATTTTTAAAGCGCTGAATATTAATCCCAGGTAGTTGGCTGCTTGGAACTCGGAGGCACGCAGAGCTTTCTTTCGTTTTGAGTATAGGGAAGGATACAAAGGGTGGTCGGGCATGCTGGGGAGTCTTAAAAAGCGCGCGATCTGTCTATTCTTTAAGACATCAAATACGTTAATTTGACCGCCACAATACTTCTTCCATGCAGGCTTTCGGAGCATAGAATCCACATAAGCGCGCAATAATTTTAAAAATTTAAATGGTTTTTAAGCTCTTTTAGGAAGGCCAGTAGCCCGAGTGCAGACGTCTCTTATTCCTTTGCTTTCACTTTGTTTCAAAGGAATTAAGAGATGTCTGCAGGCTAGGAGACCAGGTTATGCGAGCGACATTTGCTATGCATACATTGATCACGTGAAACCATATTCCTGAATAGATCAGTGACACCGAACAATGACTACTCTAAACAGAGGAAACGAAAAACAATTTGTCATTTCGGCAAAGGTTAAAAAATAGAAAACAAGCTAAACTGTCTACTGTGCCAAAAATATATCCAAAGTGTTCTCTAAAGAGCATAAATGTATCAGTTTAGATTTTTGAACTTGCTTTCCCCTCTATTTTAAAACTAAAGTTGAGTGACATTGTCTTCGACCAATAAATCGACTAAGCTGGTCTAAGCTGGGTCGACGTCGTGTGCCTCATGATCAGTAAATGCAGGTCGACTTTTCCTTGACGAGATGTGCGTACCATTGAGGTGATGATTGGAATATAGTACCGGAGTTCGTACTCCACCTTAAGGTGGTATGGTTTTGGATCAATATTCTTCAATACTAAACACTGCATAGAACTCAGTCAGCTAGGCGTACCTTCTCAAATGTTCCTCGAGGCATGCATTACAAAATCTGTGACCGCATCTTGTAAGAAAAGGCTCCCTCAGCGGCAGTTGACAAATTAAGCAAAGAAAATCATCTTCAACTTCATACACAAACTCCTCGTCGTAACCTGAAGGTAACAGAGTGTTGCGTGGGGCTTCCGCCATGTTGCAAAAATACTCTACCCAGCTATTTAGAAAGCGAAACCCTTTTTATTTGTTAATGAGCGAAACCATGAAAGTATTTTAGGGGTGGTGGGGTGCTACATCGAACGGTCGAATGGATGAACGTCAGTATGTCTATTTCCCATGTTTCCTACTTAAACAAGCATAATAATAATAATAGTAATAATAATAATAATGATAATAACCTTTATTTAAAGAGATTGCGGACACTTATTTATTTTACTATGTAAGTATTCTCCCCAGTGGCCTTCTAAACTCAAAAATAACGATAAAAAGCAAGAGCCTATAAAAAGCCTATCAACAAACAGTGATTACAATAAAAGATGTTAAAAATTCTTAAAAGATTGAGAAGTGTTAAAAACGAATGTGAATAAATTAGTAAAAAGGAGAAACTTTTTACGATGATATTAAGACTACGGAAATTTGACGAATCAGAATAACTTTTTAACTTTAAAAGAGGGTCTGGATGGGGGGGTACAAATGTCAGTTGTCAGTTAAAATTTTGCCCATTTGTCAGTTGTCAGTTGAATTTTAAGCTTTTTGTCAGTTGTCAGTTCAATGATTATTAATGATTAACTATGAAACTTATTTGTATATCTTTTATGCGAAATTCAGCTTAAAAGGCACATATAATGTTAATTAAGCATTGAATTCGAAAACTGATGCAATAGTACCTTAATTTTTGTCAGTTTTGCTATCAGTAAGCATTTAAAGTGGCCCTTCATTCCTCAAGTTTTGTGTCACTCTCCTTTACTCGAACGTTTTTGCTGGCCAAAGTCCAACATTTCCAACCATTCAGCCAATCAAAATTTATACCTTCAGAATATTGTATACCTGCCAACTCTCACGCATTAAGCATGAGTCTCACGCCTGTGGACTAAAGAGTCTAAAGACATCGATCTCACCCATCAAGGACAATTTGCCTAACTCACAAATGCGGACAAAGTGTTTTTTAACACGTGATGAATAATGAAAATCCAATCCAAAAAGGCGTCAAATGATGACTTTGATGGTGTACTTTTTTGTGTTCTAACGAAATTAAATCATGCTAAAATTGTCGTCTTCAAAATAACTTCGGAAGTGCTCAAACGTTCTAACGAAATTAAAGCACGCTAAAAATAACTGAGCTTAAACGTCTTCGGAAAATTTGCGGACATTCTCGGCAACGTTCGGAAGTCTTCGGAAAGTCGTCGGGAATCTGTGGAAGTAGCCGAAGCGTTTCTGGAAACCCTGGTCATGACAAGGTGAAAACCCAGAAAAAGTTGGCAGGTATAATATTGGCACGTAAATAGTAAGAAAGACCAAACCTAAATCATCTCGGTAAAAACTTGCTATTACTTTTGTGTAGGCATCATTAGCAGCCATCGTATGCTGGCGCGTACTTAGAGGAATATAAATTTGAGAACATAGGTCATTTTTTTAATATACAACAGATGGTCTTGACATACATGGGTTTTACAGTAAATCATTAACGAAATATGACACTTAAGCGTCTTGCTGCTAAGATTACCTATAAAAAGGCACATTTGAGTCACATTGTCTGATGAAAAGAGTGGAACAATGCTACTTAAGGCCTTAAAAACAGGTTTTGTAGAAAATAAGGGACAATCAGGTCCTTTGTCAGTTGTCAGTAAAACCCAAGGCAAATGTCAGTTGTCAGTTAAATTTTAGGCTATTTGTCAGTTGTCAGTTAAAATTTGGCCATTTTTCAGTTGTCAGTTAACCCCATCCAGACCCTCTTAAAATTGTCCACTGTATATAGTTTGAGGCGGTGTTATCAGTGTACACAGCACACAGCACAGGAACACCAGGATAAAAGTAGGTTCTCGTATTTTTCAAATATCCTAAACTGAGCTGCTTTTCTTCTCTTTTCAATTCAAGTTCTGAGTACATGGCTACTTTATTTTCTTGAGGGCCTCCCAGGGGTTTTAGGGAACAAGGGAACATCGCCATTTACTTTTAGGGAACAAGGGATATTTCAAAATAACTTTTAGGGAACAAGGGAACTGTTGAGGGATATTCGGGAACAAGGGAACATTGACTTTCGACCATTTTCTAACTTTTGGAGAGATTTCCATTAACTGTTTATGAAGACATTTCCGACGTTTCTGTAATTT